CCCCCCCCCCCCACCAAGAGACTACTGTGACTGATGGCAACAACAATCACATTTCAGATCCTCCTTTTAAATTAACCAATCATGTCTACCAAACTGAACCAGAACAATTGAAAACTTATGAAAAATTATCATTTAACAAAATAGTACAGCAGCAATTTGCTGTTACCTGATCTTCAGAGAATAAGATTCCTTTCTGGGCATTTATTTTCTTAAATAGATCTCCTCCTTCACAGTAATCCATCACTATGTAGAGGCAGCCATTTTCTGTAAAATAAACCACAAAGTATTTAAAAAAAGAAAAAACAAAAACAAACAAAAAATTCCTTTAACATAACTTTCCGAGTATGCTCACTGCAGTCACAGAAAAGCAACAAAAAAAATCAACCTTTTCACATGCAGCTTCAGATATCATTTATTAGTCCTTTTTTCAAACTTGAAGCAAAAGGTTTTTATTATTTCGAGTTGCAAAGCAGAAGCTTCCCACTTCTGCTAACATCAGACTATTTTGTTATGGAGAAAAGAAAATGACATCTGCTGAATCAATGCCCCCAAATGGGGTTCAAAACCACTATGAAATGAAAGGTGTCACTTACTGAAGGCAATATAAACCCATTCTTCTTCTGCTTTCAAACATCCCATAGATTCCCTACCCTAAAAATAGAGATTTTAACTTCTGATTTAGGTAGCTGCCTCTATCTGCCCAATTCTTACTTGGAGTTTTACCTGGACAAGGTATTAATATTCATACTAAGTGCAAGAACATGGCAATCATCAGCTCTCACACCACACACAGAGTTCATATCAGAGACTGAAGAACAGTTAAACTTCCAGCAGACAGTGCCAGCTGGAAACAATTCTTTTGTAATTTTTTAGTGAAATTTGGGAAGACTTTCAAAAGTCCTATTAAAGTTTCCACTAGGAGGTATGAACATATCTATTTCATTCAAAGTTAGAGCTTTGCTTCCCAATGCAATCTTGTCCAGTTACTGATGGAAAAGAGAGATTAGGCAGAAGCAAATTGCAAGTTACTAAAACCAGAACAACTACATTACTCACATATTAGAAATGATTCTGAGAAGAGCTAAATAAATGCGTATATCAATCAATTTTGCTACTAAAAAAAAAATATCTTATTTTAAGAGTTCATAATAGCACTTAAGAAACCTCTAGATATGATTTAATTAATTTTAATCTAAGTCACTTAAATTGCACTCCCACAGAATGCTTCTGAAATCTGTCTTAAAACATCAAACCCAGGATTTTTCTTTTTTGCTTACAGTGGTTTGTATCTCGGTTAAGCTTTGCAATTGGTATTATTTTAAAAGATTATTCTAGGATCCTGGATTTCTTGCAGACCTGTTGCTAAAATAATTCTCTTTTATAAACCAAATCAGTGTGCTCAAAGTCAATGTGCTTTAGCAATAAAGATGCAACACGAAGTCTTATGAACTGCAGATTACAGGATCTACACCTTGTAAGGAGAACAAAAGAAAAAGGCAGTCTTAAAAAACAAGGCTATATTACCCAAAAGACAATAGAGTGGATTTATAAAGCAGAGACTCTGGCTGTGCGATAAAACCATGGCATTACATTATAATTTAATAAAGAGGAATTAAAAAAAAAAAAAAAAGCCACCCCCAAAGACATATGGAAGTTAGCAGAAGGGAAGGAAAGCAGTGTCCCTAAACAGTATTTCAAGTTGAAATTTTGGATTTTGAACAACATTTTAACTTATATGATAGGCTCTTGGAATCTTTTACCTGTTCTGCTCATTTCCCAAAACATTCACAGTGAAAACAACATGAGATTATTGTTTCTCCTGCCTTCATAGCCTGATGAAATAAACAGTCCCATCTATTTTTCCAGCTCTGAAAGCAGCAATATGATTGCAATTACTGAAGACTGCATTCTAAGACAGCAGACTTTGAGACAAAATCTGCTTTTGCTAGGTTATCAATACCCAAATTTAGCCCATACTCACATTTAACATACACAAGCATTCAAGCCATTAGGGTATACACAAGGAGACATACACTCTAGAGAAACAAGACACCATAACGCTTTCATTTAAGCATCAACCAAAAGTGGTGCATGTAAGGAAGAGGCATGCACATTTCTGTTTAATTGCTGCACTTTTAAAAATCAATATTACTTTCAACTGTGCAGGGAGATTGTGGGGAAAAAAACAAAAACAAACCAACCCATTCAAAGGAACTGAAGTAATGGAAGTATTAAAAAGACGATTAAAATGAAAACACACTAAACGCAGTAAGTAGTGCACAGACAGTCACTACCATTACTTCACATTCTAAGGTCTTAATTAATCTTACCTTCAAATGACTCCCTATACAGGACAATATTTGGATGTTTCATGTTAGCCAACACAGCAACTTCTCTCCTTGATTCTTCTCTCTCCTTATTTGACATCTTCAGAAGGAAAATAATGATTTTTCAGAACAGAAATACAAAAAGAATGGATCAGGAATTAACAATAATCACTCACCTTTGAGATGTTAATTTCTTTAATAACATACTGTTGGCCATTTTCTTTAGCTTTGACAAGAAATGCTTTCCCAAAGGATCCTTCTCCAATCTTGCGTACTTTAATATATTTATCCATAGTTATCTTCTTAAGGCATCGTTTTTTGAGTACTAGGGAAAAAAAAGCCCCACAGAAAAATATTAGTTCGCTGTACCTAATCATCTAGCTTGCTAGGTCACATTACATTCAATCCATTTGTCTCCTCAGTTGCATCACATACTTTGTAGCTTTTCTGTAAACCATCTACTCCCAGTCTCAATTTTATTTTGGTAGAGTTGGCTCACCTGGTGTAGAAAAAAGGCTGCACTGCCGAAACCAACAATCAGGTTTAATCTTTCAACTTGACAGACAGTATAAAGTAAAAAGCAGCATTTTACCTTTAAATAAGGTATACAGTCAGTGCCATAACTTCCGATTCAGCTAGCACACAATCATAATACAGAGGTATTGCACCTCGTTAACAATCTTGCATTCACCTTTACTTAGAAGAACTACAACAGTGTGTGTGTGGAATCCCTACACATTGTTTCTTAAGAAGCACTAAATCTAGTATTTTGGAAGTCAGTCATGATAATGAAGCCAAAAAAATGGACTGAATTCAAAAGAACCCCCTCAAGTTTAGAATCATTATTTAACATACGACCTTAATTCTGACTGGAAACGGGGTTTTTTTTTCCTCGAAGTACAGAAAGATAGTGTAGCATGAGGTTGCACTTACTCAATATTAACACTAATTTCTCTTTTCGTCAGTGGTTAAGCATAGCAGGCAGGACATAATTTTAACCTCACATGGCTTTACTATGTTCTCTTTCTATCCCTGCTTTGGTTATGACACAACTTACACTGTACTACAGCTAAGCCAGCTGCATTAGGCATAAACCTGAGCTCCTACTGCACGCTATTCTGTTCAAATACAAACCATCGATAAGCAGCCTGTGGGCGAGAAGGTACAGTTCAAAGAGGGTTTATAATTCTGTGTGAGTTAGATGGCTTATTTTTACCCATGGCATGGGAAATACGAGTCTTAAGAAAAGACATCACTGCTAATAGGGCGTTGCCTTTTCGAGCCCTGAGCAAGAAGTCATTTTGTCC